ACTTTCATGAGAACCTATTACCTCCCTAGACTATTTAGTACCGTATTTTAAACATATATTTTTGTCCATGTGGACATAAAAAATAATGCAAAATTATAAATAGTAATGTGTCCACGTAGGCACATATATACATTTAAAATACACTATTAAATAGTTCAGGGGGTAAAAAATACGGTATTAAATAGTCTAGGGAGGTAATAGGTCCTTATGAAAGTTTAGTATCGCAACAGCAAATCCGACCAAAATTGAGATATTTTTCAGACCCTTATATATATATATGATTTTGATCTTACATATATGCGATCCAAACTTTGATGACACGTTATCTGCCTATGACTCTCCTAATAGCAATTTATGTAGTGTTGTTAGATCGGATATAGCAAAGTTTTTTTTATAAAAAAAAATTGGAAATTTTAGAAACTTATGATTTAAAGAAAGTCTTACATGTATAAAATATGCAGCTATAGATTATCTCATTAAGGACAAATAAGAATCTTAAAGTTGAGTTAATGTTTTTTTTTTAAATAAATGTGCTTGTTGGAAAATTTTATTTTAAAAAAGATAATGTATCCATAAAATGAAATAGAGGGGTATTATACATGATACTCTCCAAAAAGCAGAGTTGAAGGCATGTCAAGTTTACAATATATTATGCACCTTTTCAATTTAACACGATTATGTTAAAAAAAAAATACTTTAAACTTTGTGTCGAGTAAACCAAAATACCCTATTGATATTTTTTATGTTTAATAAAAGGTCACTAGACACTATCTAGTGGTAAATTTACGGGGAAAAAAAGAAGAGTAAACTAAAATATGTAAAATAAAACAGAAGGTAAGAAAACTTTAAAGGGATTAAATCTACGTATGGTGCAAAAATGTAGGTTAGGAGATGCATGCATCATGCAATTCTTCTTCGATTTGACTCCTGTTAGGTGAAAACGATAGCAAAAAATGCCACTTTTTAAAAACATATAATTATACTAGGTCTTCCGTGCTTACGTGAATCTTGATTAACTTTACAGAATATAGACATAAGTATTTTTCCTTGAAATTCTCTTATGTTTAAAGGTGATTTGTAAGGTCATTGAATCGTGTATAGCAAATGAATGGAGACATCTAAATATAGTAAATTATTAAAATATATATAATTCTCTTATATATCTTTATCTATGATTCCATTTATTATATATTATTGGTACGGTGCTTAAATAAAATAAAATAATAGCCCCCCCGCCCCCTGCTTCCTCTCAAATATAATGTATGTATACTAGCTACTAGATTGTGATCAAGAAAAATGAAATGAAAGAGACAAGTATGGGAGCCAACTGTTCCTGCATGGGTCTCTAACTAATATGAACCCACACAAATAAATAGTACTTGAAGGTACAATGTATGTACACGCACACAAATGTCCACCAAAAATACTGTATACTTAGGGATACACTCATCCAGAAGCGGAGCTAGCTACACACATCGAAGGGTGACTCATCTGAATGTAACTCATCATATATATATATTGGATCTTCTACTTTCAAATATGAATAAATTAAACTTCTATATACTACTAATTTAAACAAATTATTTGCTATAACATGTTGAAATACACGTAAAAAAATCTTCCTATGACATATTAAAATACACGTATAAAGAATTCTTGTTACAACATAATAAAATGCACGTAAAGAATTCTTTTAATTGTACAGTATATATCTCGTACTTATAAGATAGAATTATATTTTTTGGGAGGGGGGGTAGACATGCATGTGGAGGAGGAAAGAAGAAGCACATGGAAATAAGTGAAATGTAGTGTGTGGATAATATGTCCAAAGGTGTTCATGTCGTCTCTAGGGATCTTTCCATGTTATTTGGTAATACGTTTCAATTATTCTTGTCTCCCTATACCTCTTTTGTGACATTGACTCTTTAAGATATTTACATATCACAAATATTATTAATTAATTTAATTTCTTCCATATATATAAAACCTTCCACATATTTTTTAGTAATTTAATTTTCATATAGAGTTAAGTATTTTACTTATATATATATGATAATATATAGTAATTTTTTTAAAAAAATAATATTGATTAAGCTAAAATTCAAAATTTTAGTTTTATGTGTTTTAGATCATCAGATCGTGGTATCAAGTCGCCCAAAATATATCCATTAATAACTCTTATAAAAAGTAAACATATAATCTTAAAAATAAAACAAATTATTTACTGCAAGTAAACTGACATGATAATAAAATTAATCGCCTTTTTTTAAAAAAAAAAAAATAGTGGAGAAAAGGATGAGAGAGCAAGCAGGAGTCAAATCAAATTCATTTATTTGGTGGAAACTTAATAGCTACACATCATTAAGAAGGTGAATTGGTGGTAAACTATAAGCTGTGTTTATGCCAAATAATTAAAAGCTGATGTATATAATTGTCATTGCTAAATTACTTTCTTCATTGCAAAAGTTTGGTGGGAAATCTTCTTTCATGTAATGAGTGATATGTTGATATTGCTCCAACCAGTCTAACCAATTAAAAAAAGGAGCAGTGAATAAACCATAATGATCAAATTAAACATGTCCATATGAAAGGATTCATCTAAGGAAAAAAAAAACAACCAAAAATAACCCACAAAATAAATAATGAGAAGTAGTTTCAGTATTCTATTCTCATTTATTTTTGGCAAGATATTTTTAGCCCGATATTTTCATTCTATACTTGATTTTGATATGTTATTTTATTTGAGTCGAACCCTATTAACAATTATCTCTCTATTTATACAATATAGAATAAATCTTAATTGTGGATTATACTGAATATATTAATATTGTTATAGTAAGAGTTATACATGGAGAAGAAGATAGGACCAAATAATTAAGAAAGATGGGAGTCACATGACCTGTTTAATTACACATTATTATAATTTATAACATCAAGTCTGTAGACAAGCTTAATTATTTTTACAAAATCAAATACAGAATCATTTACTATTATAATATTCTAACAAAAAATCTTAATAAATTTGACCAGACACGCGTTGAAGGAACATATCACAATTTCTGTACTCAGACCTTAAAAAAAATTAAAATTAAAATTCTTACAATTAACTGTATATAGTTTTGATTAACCATATACATTTCGAGTAACAAAATAATACTAAGTTTGATTGAATCGGTTGAATTTATATTAACTGTCTATGCTTATGCTCGATATATTGAAATCCTCCAAATTAAAAGTGGAAAGGCCATGCACCCTTAAAATCAGCAGAACTAATCATGTTATAGTTGATTATTTGCGCACCATATTAAATTAACTAAAAAGTGGCATAGATATATAGGTACAATAATTTCATTTGTATATTTAAAGCCTTGAGTAAGAAGCAATTCATTTGAGCTAAATGGTTATAAAGAGCTTTCATGATACTTATCGACACTGAGTGTTTATATATTATGATCACTTAAACATGATTACGTGATAAATGTGAAAGACATGTGTACATTGAGCAAGAGTAAATTTTTTGTTTTGGCCATATTTTTTTTTTTATCATTTAGATTTTTCTTTTTGGCAATAAACGTATCTGAGAATATTATCACTTTGGCCATAACTATATATGGACTGCATCTCTTGATCATCATTTAAAGGCAATTTCATCTGGTGATCCTAATTTTATTTTATTTTTGTTGTAAGCTTAATATATAATTTTGACTAACTTCCAAGTTGCCGGATGTGAAATTAAATTAATTAAAAAAATAAATACTTACCTAAATTGGGACTATAGACTGATCCAGTCTGTCACACTACAATCACGTGTATGGACATATTATATTAGTGATTAATAAGCTAATAGTGATTAGGTTCTCTAAGTTGAAGATTAGTTGAATAAATTTCAGGCTTACCAAATGGAAACAAGCCAAAGAAATTAGGTGGAAAATCCAATTTTACAGCTAAAAATAAAAAAAGATAGGGCACATGCTTCTGAAAATTGCTTGCATGTGCAGAAAAGACTACATGGATTAGAGAGTTGATATAACTATTAGTAATTAGTAGTAATTATGTAAAAGTGGTCCCGTTAATGTAAATTAAAATTGTGATAGTTTAATCCAGTATTTAAGTTTGCTTAGTTAATGGCTTAATCAAATTAAACTAATTAAGTTAATCTTTTTCCTTCTATTTCCGTGGTGCTTTGTGCGTCAGATTATCGAATGTATTCAACCGAAGGTTCTGCTACATTAAGGGCAGTCCCAAGGGAACCACACCTCCTATTGATGTACAATCGAACTGAATTGCTTGGTTTTAAAGTGGGTGATAAGTACATATTTTTGTATTCTAATTTTAGTATAACATTTATCCATAGGTTTACTAATACTAATAATCAAACGCGAGACAAATGAATCTTATATTTTATTTCAAAATTATTATTTCTTATCCTACCAATTAAACGATACTTGCCGAGTGAATTTGGCACTCCAATGAAAAATCTCAAAATTGATATGCAAACTAGAGAATTATAGTGCGGGCCATGGGCTCGAAATGTAAGAGGCCCAATATTCTCTGTAGCCCATCAAACCTGATTCAGGAGAAACCGTGAGACCAAATAGGAGAAAATTATGTGGAATAGCCACTTTAAAGGTCGGTATACAAACTTTAGTCTTATTTGAAATGTAATTGAAAAATAGTCACATTAAAAAACGAAAATAAAATTTGGATCAAAATACACCCTAGCTAAAATACGAAAAACCCTAGCACATTGAAACTTCAATACATAGGATAGAAGTTCGAATACTTAATTATGGATTTGAATTGCATTTAATCAGCCGAGTTATACTATTTTAGTGCCAAGTTATAGTCGTTTCGAGTTCAACCGGCATGTCAAGTCAATAAATAGGTCATAAAACCTAACTAGTCAATTGTAACATAATCCAAGAAAAGCATATCTCTTTTTCGAATATTTAAGTGTTTACATATACCGCAAAACCTCACTAAATTAATATAAGTAAGATCATGAAATATTATTATTTTATAGAGGTATTATTTAATCGATAAATTAATATTTGTTAATTTAAAGAGTGTTTTGAGATTCAATGAAGGTTAATTTTGATTATATCAAAATTATTGTATCTTACTAATTTGTGTATCATATTTATGAAATTCACATAAAAAATAAATTTGATATACATAAAGTACAATGAATTATGTTTTGGATGCTATCAATGTTGCAATCTCGATTTGGATGACAAATTGATCCAGGAAAGATTAATGTTTTGAATGCATCAATTTTTCAATCTCGATTTGGACGATAAATATTCAGCAAGAGACAATAGCAAATTATTTTCGGCATTGCAAAATTTATTCGTGGGAAGAAATCTCAGAGAAGTTGAATGAGCCTACTTGTGAAAAACATCATTCATAAACTTGAGGTTATGATTAATGATCTCAATTACCGTAATAAAATGGACATAAAAATATGTTGGATTACCTATGTGAAAATGATACATGTTCAGAGGTCCAGAACTTAAAAGAAATTGTGGATACCATAGGAAAAAAACAATATTGATGATGAAATTGAAGGTGATACAATACCTATTGAACCAGATATGCATAAGGAAGCACTTATCCCATCTAGAACTCATCACAATTTTATGGTAAAGTTCAAAAAAGACAACACCGGAACTTTTGGATGCAATTAGAAAAGTTAAAGATAAGCTTCAACTAATTTAAATTTTAACAAGAAACAAAATACAATTGAATCATATTTCATTAAATTGTCTTAAATATATTTGTGCTTCCATAAAAATTTTAATTTTTAATATTAATGGGACCATATATATATTTATATAGGAGTCTTCTGAAAATATATTATCTTATCGAAATGAGTAGTTTTTTCCATTGGCCCAAGTCGGGACCGGATGAAAATATTATCTTAGAGAGAATATTAATTTATCGAGTATTAATTTAGTGAGGTTTTACTGTATATGTGATAATTCGTTTTACGAAACAACATACTCACTGAAATTTTACAAGTGTGATTTGTTTTCGAAAGACCCAAGTATATCAATGGGTAATTATTTTTTTCCCAATGTATATATTTACTCCTCAACTAACCAATTAAAAGGAGATGACATTGAACTCGTGAAGGCCTTGTTCTTCAAACAAGTCCATCATCTCATTTTCAATATCCAGTTCATCCTCACGAGATGTAAATGCATTACAAGACTTTTTGCCTCAATTCTCCACCTCAAGTTTCACCAATAAAAAGACTCCCTAAGCAATATAGCATATGATAATAGTACTATTTAAGAGTCACAAGAACATGTTCATCTTAAGTAGTAATTATTTTGTGATGGGCAGTGGCCTATTACTAGTATTACCTTTGCATGCCGTTGTTGAGTTTTTATCCATTTATTCTTCATGGCTAACTTTTGCTGTTCCATTGAGATGGAGCCTAAGACATTGAGCCAAGGTCAACTCAACCTTGCCCGAGTAATGCTTCTACCTCAATCTTCTAAATTTGTTGATTTTACTACTTACTATCATTTATTTATTTTATGATAATGATAATGATGCAGGAAGTTGCTGTTGACATAGTACAAAATACACAATCAGACGAAGCATCAAATCTATTTCTAGAGGTATATATGCAACTATCGCATTTATTTACTTTGCTAATTTAGACAGTGAAAATTCATCCTTCAAATTAGTAGGGATCATAACAATTACTTCACCACTTTTTAGTTCTGCCTTTGAAAAATATATAGTTACGGTTATGGAATTTCAAAAATCAGGTGAAACTCTATGATAATGTCCTGAGATGTGAAAATAATGTTTATTATTTACTCAACCAAAGCTCCACGCTAGGCCAGCCTAGAGGGGTGAAGCTAGTATAGAGCTTATATGACTTCGACCGAAACTAGTAACTTTAGACCAAATATTATATATATTTGTCTTAAGAAATTCATTAAACATGTAGACATTATTCAATCTAGATCCATAAATTTCAAATTCTGACTCCACCTCTTAATAACAGGCATACTCAACATTGATTGAGCCAAGAATAGTCAAAAGTCTAACTCTTATAAGACCTCAAGCATAACTCAATTTAAGAATCTAGCTCATGAGCGAATGATCATGCATATATAAGGAGCCAGCCATTGACTCAACTCAAATTATATATGTATAAAGTAGTAGTAGTGTTAATTAAAGTTACACATGTAATGCTAATTTTAGTGAGTGATTTTTCTTTTTTTCTTTGAATGTGTGACCACATGATCTGAAAATGTAAATGGTACCATTTATATATAGGGAGGAAAGGCAGTTGTTCAAATAAAGGAAGCTTTAGTGGTAATTGAGGAAGCAGAATCAGTTGTAGAAGAAGATTGCATTGGGAAAGCAGTGAAAACAAACGTGATGATCGAGGCATCCTGTCAATGCGCGTACCCGTCGGCGATAACTGACGACTCGCCTGACCAATCTAAGTTCAAGGAACCACTCTCTGCTCCCTTTTGATTTCTAACTTACTCCATCATATCCAAATAAACAGATCATCTTCTTCTTGTTTAGTTATTTACCTCTGTAATTTTATTTTATTTGTTTTGGAGTCTAACTAATTCAGATTTGCATCGTGTAACCGCTTAAGACATCTAATGAAATAGAAAGTGCTACTATTAGGATTTTTATTTTCATTTCAACGGCTCGAATATGACATTTCTTCGTCCCATTATAACTCTGATGGTAGTGTAACGTCATATGATTCATCGGCATTCAAGTGTAAAGGGGTCATAGTATTTCGGTGTAGTATTTCAAATCGTAAATTATATATAGTTTCCATTGCCCCAATTGCAGACTTCCAGTAGTAGTAGTTTTTTTTTTCTTTTTTTAAGAACGTAACATGTTCCCACTAGTAACTTTTTTTTTTTTTAGAATGTAGCATTTTTCCACTAGTAGCCTGTAGCTTAACCACACCAAAGATTGTGGTGTTGTGACAATGATGATGCCGTGATTTTTATTATAACCTCGCACGAATAAATCAAAAGGAATTTAACATATACTATATATTTATAAAAATAGTGTAGTCAAATTTAAGAAGTATCATTTTTCACTAGCTAATTTTTTGGTCCTATTTGGCTCCGCCTTATAGTGGTAAGTACTCCTTCTTAGTTAAAGATTTTAGGTTCAAATAGTTACTTTGGTAAAATTATTTTATCCCAAAATTAAAACTTTTTTATGCGAATTCGAATTGATGGTAGGTAGCCCAACGGGGATAATGTTGTGGGAGTATTTTGGAGAAATGGATTATTTGATGGTTTTAGGGCTTTAAGGGTGTTGTACCAAATTGCTTGATAGACGTACGTATCTACAAGAAGACGAAGAAAAGGTTTAATTACCCTCTGTATTAATAGTGGACCAAAAAGCCCTGGCACAATTTAGTTCGGTGTTCAACCACAAGGACAGTAAGAGTCATTTGGTTGAAAGCCACCGCTGGCGTTGAGTTAACGCCTTTATTTGAATTCACACAGTATTACAATTCTAGGGTTTTTCGTTCTCGCGCTCTGCAACCTAAAACCCCCCATTTTCAAATCTCAGTTCCTCGTCTTCCAATACATCCAGGTATTCTCCTTTCTCTCTGCGTAATCAATCTATTGCAAACTTTGAGTTATGTTTAAATAATCGAATTTTGAATGCGAGTTTTGCAAATTGTATAAGTTCAATACAACAAATTGAATGTATTTCGTTTTTTCTCAGATAGGTTATTTACACGCACCAGCATATCCTGTAGTTTCGTTAGTTAATGTTCAATCTCTGAGAATTTGATTATATCTTTAGGACTGAGAGAGAATGAGTACAGCAGTGCGAACCCCGAAAACTGGAAGACAATCATTGTTCTTCCAGGATTTAGCTACGCCTATTTCTTCCCGGAAATCTGGGTCGAAATTTAATACACCAGGTCAGGTAGCAGCTGTTTCTGCTTTATGGCGTGAGAATTTTGCCAGCTCAGATCTGCCACCACCGCCTGTATTTACCCTTGAGGATCGATCGGATGTCTCTCCGGAATCGGGGATTCCTGACTATATTACTTCGCCAGAAATCAAGTCGGACCCTAGAACGCCGGTCCTAAATTCAGGAAGGGAATTTTCAACACCTAAGAGTAAGTCTGAGGCAAGCACTTCATATGCATTGATGGGTAAGCAGCAACAACAGAGTCAGCAAAGCCCCTTGCCAAGTTTGACATGGTGGTCACCCACAAAGGGTAGTGGTAGTGCTGAGCAGGATGACAAGGGAAAAGGTTCACCAGTAGAAGGCGTCGTTCATCCTGGTGCTTTGATAACCTTACCTCCACCAAGGGAGGTTGCAAGGCCAGAGATCAGGAAGAACTCAATCCCTGTGGGCAACCTCAATGAGGAAGAATGGGTCACAGTTTATGGGTATGCCTATATCTTTCCTACTTTATATATGTCCTTCCACTTATGTTCCTGATAGTAGTAGGTGTATTTAGAACTCCTTGATGCCACACAATAGTCATTTTTTGCTGGTAGCTTCATTAGGGTAACTTCTAGTTCAAGCTGTTGCATTGTAAAGTATGTTGCTAACCACCCATTGTTATTATGTCTTCCTGTTTCTTTTCCTTACTTTTTGTTTCCTCCTTCACTAGGAGTTGTCATTACTTTCTGCTAGAATCAGATGGTATCTGTGTTATTTTTCATGGCAGGGTCTTGAGGATATCCTTTGCGGTTAGCCAAGTCATTATCTAAGGTTCCCTCTGGATGGAGAATTTTAGATTTTAGGGGGTCCAAATTCATAAATATTATAAATTTGAAGGTTTGAATTTAGAATACGTGCTATCAAATGTTTTTTTTGACTCATTTGATATGTGAATCTAAGTGAAGGCTTACAAGGCATGTGATTTGTGTTTCTATTTCAGATCTATTTTTTTCTGAAGTATATCTGAACAAGTGAAACTGATATGAATTTGGAAGACCTGACCATATTGCTCCATCCAAAATTGGCCTTAAAAGACCAAGAAACAAAACAAAAAAACAAACAACATACCCAGTGAAATCCCACTAGGTGGGGTCTGGGGAGGGTAAAGTGTACGCAGACCTTACCACTACCTCGTGGAGGTAGAGAGGCTGTTTCCGGAAGACCCTTAGCTCAAGTGTAACTAAAAGACCAAGAAACATTGATGTAAAAGAACATGGAGACTAAAATGGAACGTTATGTTTATGCAATAACTTGCTTTCTTCATCCTTCCATGTGATAGATGCGCTTGAAAAATAAGAGGAGCTTTGATACATTCTTGCTTGTGTTTCGAGTCTTGCTTGATGTGCTGAGTTTATTATTGAAATGAGCAAAGTGCCCTTATTGGAATACCTTTTCCTGGTGATATTGGGAAGGGTAGATGTCTCAAGGCTCTAACGATGTAGTGGCAATTGATTCTTTACTTCCTTCTTGTGAATAATCCTCTTCTCCTCACGCCTACCCAGAAATTAAGAGCAAAGGATATAAGTATATAGTTTTGGAGGGAAAACCAGCTCTACTCCTCTAGAATCCACTTTCTGTTTATTTTGCATCACAGAATGTTCATGAAGGGGATCAGCTTTAGTCGTCTAAGCTAGGTTAACTGCCTACAGAGTTTCAGGGTAGATGTATGGATACAATTTTTATGATCTATGTGTTCCTTTCAGTCTCTTTGAGTTATTCTATAGGGACCCTAATTTCTGTACTTCTCACATTTTGCTTGCCATTTTTCTTTATTTTTGGTCTTCCACTTATCATTTACCTTTTGAGTGTTATGTGCAGGTTTTCCCCAATTGACACCAATTCAGTTTTAAGGGAATTTGAGAAATGCGGTGTCATTTTGAAACACATTCTGGGCCCCCGAGATGCTAACTGGATGCACATTCTCTATCAGGTATTTCATATACCTATAAACTTGTCATCATGTTCAGATTCTGTTGTACATGCTTGTGTAGTCATACTGTCTTAAGGGCCTATTTGGTATTTGTATTGCCCTGGGTGGTTATGTGGTGTGGGTACCGTGATGTTTAGTGCCAGTTAACACTTACTTGCCACCACTAAAGTGTACCAGGACAAGGTCTCCGTTTCTTCTTCATTATTTTGCTTCCCTCACCCCTCATAAAATTTATTCTGTATTTTTTAACCCTTTTGTCCTGTTCTCTTATCTTCCTCTCCAACTGACTTATCCTTCCTATGAGCTTAATTTAAACCCCTTTTTAGAAGTCTGCTATCCCTGTGTTTGTCTCTGTAGCTGGGACTGCTGGTGTGACCCGACCTTACCCAGTGTCTTTTTTTTGGATTGATTTCTACCTGTGCTGTGAAGCCAACAAATAGTGTGGCCACTTGCAATGCCCCTGATATGTAATATCTCTTTGCAGGATATGTTTTTTTTTAAAAGAAAAAAAAATTGTCCACGGTATTTATTTTTCTTTGTGCGATCTTTTTTGCTGTCAATGACCCTAGTCTCCTGGAAGGTAAAAATATTTCATGACCATAAAGCCGTGACTTATTCTCTTTTATGGTGCAGAATCGTGCTGATGCTCAGAAAGCTCTTAACAAGAACGGTATGCAGATAAATGGAGTTCTTATGATTGGGGTGAAACCAGTGGATCCAACACAACGTCAGGCACTGGATGATAAGCTCAACAAGCAGGGATTTATACCTTTACCGCATGCTCCAACCAGTAAAAGCAATGACCCGACTCCGTTTAGAACCTCCTCTCAACCTTATTATCTCCAAAATGGCAGCAATAGTGCAAAGCAATCATCTGGATCTGTTGCCACCCCAGCAAGATCCGTTGTGTCTAAAATTGTGGACTTAATGTTTGGTGTCTAATCTTCCATGCTTCTTGTTATTCTTCCTCCCATGCTTTTGTGTCATTTCTACTCAATGATGTCAAATATCATAGTTGATTCATCCGGAATGCATATTGACTCCAAACAACAGTTGAGTCATGAGTCTGTGATTCGTACTCCCTTCTCCTCCATTGTCTTCTCTATTTCATCTTCAAATGCTTGTTCATGATGTATTTGTATCGATGTGAGCAAAAGACTGATCCTTTCATATTTTGGGGAAAAAAACGGTGTTGTAATGCAGATATAGAGAAATTTACCTTTCCTTTGCATCTTTCTGTCAGTTTTGATGAGTGGAGATTTTGGGAGCGGTAAATGCTTGGTATGAAATCAAGGTCTTGCATAGCTGCGTGTTCTAAAATTTTGGGCTGGTAATGTCTTGGCCAAGTAATTTGGTGGGTTCTCTCGTATTTTAGTTATTCATTACTAATAGTGTTTAATAGTTAATGATGACTTTTTATTGCCAACGAGATGATGGACATAATTGTTACACGGTGGTTTAAAAACATGCTTTGAATTCATGTATTTATTGGTTTATGGGAGATGACAAAAAAAAAATGAAAATATAAGTGTATTCTCAAAGTGAACAATTAATTAGGAACAGATGAGTATTATAATATTGCGTTCGTAATCAAATTAAGTAATGCCTCTCTTGCTCCCGTGACTTGGAGTGTAGAGCCCTCTTGTAGCTTTTTTATTGTATGACCAAAGAGAACAAAAACGTCAATTATCACTGTTCATTCACGGACACTTCCTTGACTACTTCGTCCTACCTATACTCGCCACGTGTTAATTTCTCACGTTCTCTGACCCCACTGCTCGCTTTCTTACGATTCAAAAAGAAAATTCTCTCTAAAACAGAGGAGATTGAGCAATTGGAACAAAACTAAATACTAGTGTATTGAGGAGATGATCAACGGCAAAAATCCACCGGATGTAGGAATTCAGCTGCCGGAGTCAAAGATGGAGATGGATAGTCCACTGGACGGAAATGTTAACGGGAAAGCTGAAGTGATGCAAGTAGTCCTACGGGCATTGTGTCTTGTGACTTCAGTCACAGCTCTATCACTTATGGTGACTGCCGAACAAGCTTCTACCATCACTGTCTTGGGCTTTAATATACCCTTGCACTCCAAGTGGTCCTTCTCTCATTCCTTCGAGTAAACATCTCTTACCCTATTTTATGTTATCTCTAATAGCTTAAGCTTTTAAATGAGACGCTCACACAATTCAACATATACAAATTTGTGGGCGTTGTAGAAATTCATGAACTTCAAATTTTCAATCTGCATCTGTTGATGTCTATGTTGTTGATGTACTGGACTGGTAACCCTATGAACTTTAGGGCATTGTCTTGTTAACAATTTTTCCTAAGCTTTTGAGTAGGTGACTTGTTTTGATATTATTGTTCCTTTTTCTTTTTTTTTTTGAATTTTGAAATGACACTTCCAGTCCTGAAAATTAGTAGTACGTGCAATATCAGGTAATGTACTTGCATATATCTTGTTTTTGTTTGCAATAGCAGGTAATGAACAAATCACAACAAAAGGCCCGTGAGTAGAATTTTAATATTCTGTTTTCTGACACTAATGCAAACTAGTACAGAGAATCTTCTTCCTTTTTAGTTCTTGCAATTATTTCTTGGGCTTACTTATTTTATTTTTTAAGGGGTAATTGGGAGTAGGCAAAGGGAGAATGGGGAGAGGATCACGAGTAGCCAACTATCTGAGCCACTTAGATTTCCCTGGGTTTACTTAGTTCATTCTCCTCTCAAGCATTTATTGTCTTCAATTATAGATGCTTATTATATATGTATCCCGTAAAATTCATATAATTTTAAGGGGAAATGGGGAGGGGATTACAATGCAACCCTTACAGCCTCACCAATAAGGTGGGGGTTCAGGTAACCAACCAACTGAGCTACTGAAATCCCCCTTAAATTCATATAATCAGTGGGAGGATGTGATTCAATAATTTCTATAGTATAAAGTGCACATCTTGGATGATCAGAGAAGTTCTGAGTTATTTGAAATTTACTGATCAGGTACCTGGTTGGCATCTCAGCTGCTGTTGCACTTCATTTAATACTTCAGCTACTTATCAGTGGATCAAGACTTGTACGAGGATCACCTACTATTTCTTCGCGAAATCACGGATGGCTTATTTTTGCTGGAGATGAGGTACAGATTTGATGTTTAAGCGTTCACTGTAAAAGGATATAATTAGCACCTCTCTAGTTGCACTTGTTCGGTTGCCAATAATTGCTTATAACAGTAACACTATCTGATTGTTTTTGTTACTATAGGTTTTTGCATTGGCGCTGATGAGTGCTGGATCGTCTGCATCAAGTGTTTCCAGTTTGAATCACTCAGGGATTCGACATACAGCTCTGCCAAATTTCTGCAAACCCCTGCATCATTTTTGTGACCGTGTATCCACTTCAATAGTCTTCACTTTTTTCAGCTGCTTTCTGCTTGCCATTTTAGTTGTTCTTGATGTACGTTGGCTGTCGTCTAAGCACTAGACTTATTTGCTTTACTTAATCTCAATGCAAGTGATTTATGTTGTAAACCTTATTAGGTGAATTTGTGGTCATTGCAATGGCCCTTGATTTCTTGATTCATAACATAAATGTGGCCACTAGAAACTCACCGCAGCTCAACGTTTTAGATCAAGATTTTTTTTTGGTGAATTATATACATTGTGCTTATTTCGTTCATTGCTTCTTGTTGAAGTGTGTTTATTATCATAATCATTTTGTATTTGAATACATAAAGAAACGAAGCTCTAATCATATCAAGATATTATTTATAGCCAACTATATACTAATAAGTATTTTAAAAAGTTTAAGGTTTCTATGTTCGAGTTCACAGTAAAATTGAAAACTTTGACTTGATAGAAGATTAGACTTTTATGAAATTATGTTGAATTCAATGTTCAACAGTTTTCTACCGCAGATTTCTAGTTTCTACCTTACCAATTAGACTATAAACATACTGGTCCGTTCTATTTTAACTGTTGTTTTAATTTTTTTTAAATTGAAAAAAATAAAAATACAAGGTAAAGTATATGCTACGCCTATTTATTAGTAAATGTTTTTTTGAAAGTTTTGCCCATTTTGGACTTGAATTTCTAAAGTGAAACTTGTTTTGAGATATTTTTTTCAAGCTAAAAAGGATAATTAAAATAAGATGGAAGGAGTAGAAAATTACAAAGTTTTTCTCCTTTAAAATACGTCTCAACGGAAATATGAATGTTCAAATTTGTGCTCAACACTTGTTATAGATAAATGATTTGAACAGATGAGAACTAATTAATCCCTAAAAAGATGGGAACAATTGAAATAAGGTGGAAAACAAAAAACAATACAAACATTTTTTTTTAGAGACGTTTTTATTCATCAATTAACAGTTACAAAACATGACCAAGTCAACAAGAAAAACTTAAGTGGACCTCCCACGACCCCTCTCCTCTAAACACTATAACTTCCACGTTCACCACGTTACTGCATCCTTTGCTATCAATTTTTTTTTTCTTAAATAGCTTCATTATTGCACAGAGTTAAACCACATAGCAAAGTGAGAAATTTTCTAAAGCTCTCAAATTTCCACATTGCTTCACTGCATTACATACACTAACAGCAATTAGCAATATTAGTTCACTCTTGAGGAAGACAAACAATGGGTTCAACTTTCTTCTACACTACTCTTTGTTTCATCGCGCTTACCATTGTTGCTTCCTCCGCCGAGGAATTCAAAGTTGGTGATGCTGTGGGTTGGCGTCAGCCAAGCCAGAATGAAACAGATCTCTATAATCATTGGGCTTCAAACAAGAAATTTCATATCGGTGATTCACTTCGTAAGTCATTAATATTCACTCAATTGTATTATTACTATGTAATTATTCCGTTTCCTCTTCAATGTACGTATCATGCATAATAATTCAGTCTCAAATTTGAGACTTCGGATTAAGTTCATGGTTTCGTTATTCACCACACTCCTGGGTAATGGCAATTAGTTCCAGGTAAAAATTTATTGAGTAGTTACTCAAATCAATAATTTCGTGTTACATGTTCAAATTACTCTCTTATTTCTATAATAAATTAACATTCCTTTGATGTAAATATCGAGTACTGATAAATTTTTGTGAACAGAAAGTAAAATATGTGACATGATTTATCTCGGTACAGGTTTTGAGTACAGGAATGACTCGGTTATTAAAGTGGGCAAATGGGAATTTTATCATTGCAACAGAACTCATCTAGCCTCGGCCGGTAAAGACGGCACCAGAACTGTGAATCTCAACAGGGCCGGCACGTTCTACTTCGTGAGCGGCGATCCGGAACATTGTAAAAACGGCCAGCGTTTAGCCGTTGAAGTTCTCCCACTACATCCAATTTCGGAATCTCCACCGCAACCATTTTCTCAGGCGCCGGCGCCATCGCCGCTCTCAATCTCGGCGTCGGTTTCTTCAGCAGTTCCGTTGGCGTTCATTTCGGCGTTGTTGATTTCGGTTATTGTTGTAGCTGTTGCTGGGTTAGCATGAGCCCCTGTTATTGTGGTTTTCATTTTTCTACTTACTAAGAATATTTAGGTTAGTTATTTAGCTTGTTTAGTTTCATGCATTATGATTTGGCTTAGTTTAATTAGAATGTTCTATCGATTTCAATTTTTCACATTGGATTTATGGCTCATTTTGAATTTATTATGTATGGAAACACATCAATTCTTAATGGGAATTTATATACTAATGTCTATTTTAGTAATATTTTTTAAAGTGTGTCTTCATTGCGTATGGTAAGTCAATCTCTTCATATTTCATTAATTTCTATCCTTTCAACTTTCAAGGATACAATTTTTTTGCATAGATAGATTATGTATTTGACTAAAATATGTATCTCCTTATTATCATGAAATTAATTTTTTTGTTAAAAATATTCAAATTTTATAAATACACATGTGTGTAAATAAGTGGATGTTCATAAAGACTTTTATTTACGATAGCATAATAGCATCTCTAAGTAAACTTCACCCTCTATAAACTATAAAGGGACACTACGTGATAGAAGGACACATTGAAAGAAAATTACTTCTCTCCTCTTACTTTTCTCTTTTTTGTTTTCTTTTTAACTTTTAATATTTTATTTATAACAATATGAAAATAAATAAATTATGACCCATTTATTTTTTAGACTGAACTCGTATTAGTGTGCTACTCAAAAAGTTGGACAATATAAAGTATAAACGGACGGAGATGAAAATTTGAAGAAACATAAGGGACAATTTGCAAAGCACGATAACTACAAGGTTCTATAATGAAAATTTTCTTTTAAACTTTTAAGTTTGCAGTTTAAATATTGGAACTTCTAGAAAATTCCTTTTCAACGAAGCCTTATCTTCTCCCCTTGTGCTCTACCATTTCCACATTCACCCACTTTACGAGTGAGCTCAGGTACTCTTCCTCATTCTTCATCCTCTTTTGCCTTTTGTAATCCTATTTTCTGATTCTTATGCAAAAACATTAATGGAAAATGCATTCCTTTCTGTTTGAATCTCAACTACTCCATTAATTGCCTTTAATTGGAACTGCGATTTTGCTACTGTATAGATTTATCCATTATTGTTTGAACTGAGACTCTGCATTTTGCTGTGTTAATTCTGAAAACGAAATCTCGAGCTTTATTGTGCTTGTTCCATTTTAATACTCAATAATTTGTCAAGGCAATTCGCTATCTAATAGCACTTCAACTAATAACTGAAAAATATTGATTACTAATGTTTTTCTCAATCGTTTTAATTAAGACTGTAATTTAACAATAAGCTTGAGAAACAAGCATGATTTGTGATAACTTTTAGGATTTAAAAAGTCCGTAACTTTAGTTTGTTAGCTCTCCTTATATAGGTAGGAACTCCTTGAAGTGTAACACTTATTGGACCTGTAATGATAATTTTGTGTGTGTGTTACCGAAAAAGTTTTGCTCTTGGATTGAGCATTTCGATGAGCACTTATGCACGTCATTTGTTGTTGTTTTCATTCAGAAATTTCATTGAAGGTTGTGATATATTCTTTTAAAGGTCTGCCACACAATTTTTTCTTGAGCTTGTCTTGCTTTCAAAGGCTCTTCTGCAGTACACCCTGATGGATTCCAAAAGACTGTAGGTTGAATCTAGATGCCGATAAGCCCAACAATCCATGCGCCATGCCTTAGATTTTTAAGTCGAAGCCTGTCTGCTTGCATCTCTTTATTTGTCCATAATCTATGCACTTGTTTCTACCAATTCCTGTTGTCAAGCATACCAAATATGACCTACCGATACATGAAGTCACGCTATCAGTAGTACCTTCTTGGTAATCCAAGAATGTGCTTGTGTTTGAACAATCAGACCTTCAGTGTGTTTGATTTCAATGAATTGGACTCTTTTTTATATACTTTTCTGAGGCAATGATGCCCTATGCTGCAGGTCTTTTGTGGAGCATGGCTGCTACGTTTACCTCAGTGTGTTCAATTGCTTCCACAAACCAGACAGTTGATAAAAAATTCATCAATTCTTCTGAAACGTTATCTTCATTCTCTGGGATATCTTTGACTTCATTAGGGGGCAGGAGAAAGAATAAAGTTTTAAAGAAGAGAAATGATTCCAAGATCCAGGCTATGGCCAAGAAGTTACACTTCAATCAGGATGGTTCTGCCATCAAGAAGTTGCAAGTAAGCTTGATAGGAATTTTTAATTGATTTCTCTTGTATGGACACCTCATCCTTTTGTACCTATTTAATTCTCGTCATTCCTTTGCCTTCAAAATTCAGGCAGGTGTTAACAAGCTTGCAGATCTAGTAGGTGTAACTCTTGGTCCAAAAGGAAGAAATGTAGTTCTTGAGAGCAAATATGGATCTCCGAAAATTGTAAATGATGGTGTTACTGTGGCCAGAGAGGTAAACTTCCGAAAACTCCGCATCTGATTTTCTTCTGGCACTCAACTGTCAAATGCTATGTGTTTGTTGACTTGTCGAAGAGAAATATGTTGTACTTACCATGATCAGCACTGGAATTGATCTTTGTTATTTCTTCTGTATATTATTCACAAATTCATTTTTAAATGGTGTACTCCTTTAGTAGATATTGTTATTACACTTAAAATGCTGTATTTCGGTCCTGTTGGTATGGTTGAACTATGCAGAAATAGATATGTTGTAATGTATGCTCTGAATTGCTCAATAGGTTGAACTAGAAGACCCTGTTGAGAATATTGGCGCAAGTTTGGTGAGACAAGCTGCATCAAAGACAAATGACTTGGCTGGGGATGGAACAACTACATCCGTTGTTTTGGCACAGGGGCTCATAACTGAGGGTGTTAAGGTTTGTAAGAAGTTGCTTTCAATTTTGCAAGCTATTTCAAGATTTTGATGGTGTTAGGGATTTGATAATAGCTTCCTTAATACTGGTTATTCAGGTTGTTGCAGCTGGTGCAAACCCTATTCAGATTGCCAAGGGCATCGACAGGACCACCAAAGCCCTGGTTTCTGAGCTAAAAAATATGTCAAAAGAGGTGAAAATTACAAAAGTCTATGTTAAATTTTACTTATGATTCAGTACAGCTGCATCAATTTTTCAAAACTTTACTTCGTTTGGAACAACTATTATTATTTTTGAAAGTTGCTGATAACCTTTTAGGTCGAGGACAGTGAACTAGCAGATGTAGCTGCGGTTAGTGCAGGAAACAACTATGAAGTAGGAAATATGATAGCAGAAGCCTTGAGTAAAGTGGGTAGGAAAGGTGTAGTGACTCTTGAGGAAGGACGGGGTTCTGAGAACAACTTATTTGTTGTGGAAGGCATGCAATTTGACCGTGGCTATATCTCTCCATACTTTGTTACAGACAATGAGAAGATGGTAGCTGAATATGAAAACTGCAAGGTATGATGTACCATGACAATTTGTCTTGCATGCTATCTTTAAAAAAACTCTTCCTGGATATGCTAAAGAATGTGTTGCTGACAACTAGTTTTAAAAAAAATCAGCTGCTTTTGGTAGACAAAAAGATAACAAATGCAAGGGATTTAGTCAATGTTTTGGAAGAAGCAATCAAGAACGGATACCCAATATTGGTAATCGCTGAAGACATAGAGCAGGAAGCTCTAGCCACACTGGTTGTGAACAAATTAAGAGGAGCATTGAAAATTGCTGCTCTTAAAGCTCCTGGTTTTGGAGATCGAAAAAGCCAATATCTTGATGACATTGCTATCCTTACTGGAGGTCTGTCCATAATGAAGTGATCTCACTGTTCAACGAAAGCTATGTTTACATATAAAGTAAATTTAATTATGCAATATGCACTCAGGTACTGTCATTCGAGAGGAGGTTGGTTTATACCTAGACCAGGCTGGAAGTGAGGTCTTAGGGAATGCTGCCAAGGTGGTTTTATCAAAGGATTCGACGACAATTGTTGGTGATGGTAGTACACAGGATGCAGTGAGCAAAAGAGTCGCGCAAATTAAAAGACTTCTTGAGGTAGAACTTTGACTTATATTTTCTCATGCCAGTCAATTAATTGCCCTTTTCACAAAACAATGTTGGGCTGTCCATGCAGGAAGCTGAACAAGACTACGAAAAGGAAAAATTGAATGAGAGAATTGCAAAACTCTCTGGGGGTGTTGCCGTTATTCAGGTCAGTTGATGATTCACTTATTTTAGGATGATATCTTTTTCGTTGTCGTAATTCAAAGTATACTCTTCTTGCCGTAATTTGGGATTATGAAATATCAGGTTGGTGCACAAACTGAAACAGAACTCAAAGAAAAGAAATTGAGAGTAGAGGATGCACTCAATGCGACAAAGGTTTGTTCAAGTGTCTATGCAATTATGGCCATTCTTTCAATTTGAATTTGCCAACCACTATTATCTTACAGTGGTAATGAAATTGATCTTTGGTAACCATAGGCAGCTGTTGACGAAGGTATTGTAGTTGGTGGTGGATGCACCTTATTGCGGCTTGCTGCCAAAGTTGAAGACATTAAAGGAACTCTTGATAATGATGAACAAAAGGTATTACTTTTATTTAGTTCATTGAGGAAGATTCCTTGTACAGTTGTACCAAGATTATTTGCATATGTTAATGTTAATTTTCTGAAAGCGGGGATGGCACTAATTCAGTTTTCAATACTGCAGATTGGAGCTGATATTGTCAAGAGAGCTTTGCGCTACCCTATGAAGTTAATAGCCAAGAATGCTGGTGTTAATGGAAGTGTTGTGATTGAGAAGGTATAACAATATTGAAATGGGTTTACTGTTTATGTTGCATTGTATGAGAGTTCAAAGATACATTGACTGGTTTTACTATCATTCTCAGGTGTTGTCCAATGACAATCCAAACTATGGTTATAACGCGGCCACCGGAAACTATGAAGATTTAATGGCTGCTGGTATAATTGATCCTACAAAAGTAAGTATCTTGAAGTCTCAAGGGAAACAAATGCCGAAGTGACGTGTAGATAGTTTCAACAATATGCATGTTAGAGTGGGTTAGAGACTTAGAGTCCCACATTGGTTGGGGAATGGACAAATGATTTACTTATATGGATTTGGGTATTCCTCCCCTCATGAGCTAG